GGGAGGGGGTGGTTAAGCAGTAAATCACTGGCCCTGAGATAACGGAAGAGGTCATAATAATTTGTTTCTCCCAAATATTCACTCACTCACTCACGGCGGCGGTTTTATGACTGTACACGATTAAGCTCGCCTTCCACACAATAGCGGGTGGTTGGAGGGTGTCACTGGTGGGTCTTAGTCTTACTTACTTCTTTACTATCCAATGTTAGACAGCCTTACCACTACACATCAGCCTCAGTACTGAGTAGAGTAGTGCGTCGCTAGAATGTAGACCCTAGTATTCTCAGACGTTGTTGCCATTTGTATCCACGATGACAAGAAGGCGGGTAATTTGAGGGTGCTACTGACAGATCCTGTTTCTATAATTTTCTGTCTGTCTACCTGCCTGTCCTGTCTGTCTGTATTACTGTCTGCTCCTTTTATTAAATTGACCGTTGTTACGTTGCTGTCTGTTCCTGTATAAAATTGACAGTTGTTGTGTTGTTGTCTTTATTTTCCCCCCAAATGGTCCAGCTGGCAAGATAAGGGCTCTGAACGTGGCCTAGAGGTTAAGGTGTTCACCTCTCATTCAAAGGACCCGGGTTCGAATCCGGGAAGCGACGGAAAAATTTTCTTCTCTAAAATTGTCTCCTTTCACCTCATTTCCTGCTCTCTAGCTATGTTCTGTCGTCTGCTTTCGTCTCCACTTTCTTCCCCCACCACCTCACCTCCTTTGCCCTCTCCTCTGGGCTCCTGACTCTTTCTGCAGCCTTTCTACTGCTACTCCTTGGCTCCTTACTGCTGTCTTTCAGACACACCCCTGATCTTCTGGTACGAAAGATCTACACCTATCCTTCTCAGACAAGGGCGAAAAATCTCAGAGGTTCCGTGTGCAAGTTGCGCACATGAATGATCCCTCGGTGGTCTAAATTCGATAAGAGTAGGCGTCGGTCGCCACTCGGGCAAAATTCAAAATTTCCTACCAACTGAAATCAATGTGTCCTGCGCCCTCTTATGACCTTATCCAGTTGCGAGCGCCGTAAAACACTTGCAAAACCCCCCCCAAAAAAACCCCAAACAAACGAGAAAAAAAACTGGCAACATTGGTTGATTGACGGGTGCTCAAGTGTGGTTTACTCCTTCTTTTCTGTCAAACATTTATCGTTCGTATCTCTCCTCTTTCTTTCTTACCAAACATCTTTTTTTCTTATCTCTTCTCCGTCTTTTTGAGTTTGTTTCTCTTTTGTAACACCTCTAATTCCATGCACTTTTATGGCCCAGTTGTGTTACAAGCTCCGTAAAACTCTTACCAAAACTAAAACTTTCTCTGCACTAAATAACCGTTCCTTTGTCGATGTTTGTCTCTCATTTCTTTCAATCTGAACTGAACGAAAAGGACATTAATAAATGAAAGGTCAACGAATATTTGAAAATATTTATTTGAAATAAATGGGCTCAGCTGACGTAAATGCATTTTTACGAAAGAATTGACGAATTCCAATACGTTTTTAGGTTTTGCTTCGTTTGGATTTGATTTTGTTGTTTTTGAGCCATTGTTTTCTTGTGTGTTTTTTTTTAGGGCGG